GATGCTGCTTGGCCTGCTGTGTTCATCCAGCCCTGCACCTTGTTGTCTCGGATTCTCCAGCATCTGCAGTTCCTACTATCTCTGGGCAGCATTCAGACTTGGTTTGGTAAGTGGCAAGTAACATCTACACCCAGTGGCAGGCAGTGACCAAATCTCATTATTCAGGCATCTCTCTCTTGAACGCCCTATTATCAGCATCCTGGGGATTACCGCTGACCAGAAATTAAACAGGGTCAGCCAAATAAATACCGTGGCTACAAACGTCAGACAGAGACTGGAATCTCTGTAGTAATGAACTCATTTCCAAACTCTATAAAGTGTACCCGCAATCTGCATGGTACATGTGAGGTGTAGAGTATGACGGAACACTCACCACATGTCTGAAGGATTGCAGCTTATCCAACCCCCAATATAACTAAGGCAATACATTTATTCAGCACATTATTCACCACCTTAAAACATTAACTCGCTCCAAAATGGCACAGTGTACCATTTGCTGCAGTTCATCATGCATATGACCGAGGCTCCTTTGTAGTTCCATCCTAACACATGGCCTTTAGTACCTAGCTGCACAACAGCAGCAGTTGCATGGAAACTATCCCACCATTATTTCACTTGGTACGTCAATCTAGTGGAACTTTCCAACAATAGTTACGTGCTGGTTTTTGACTGGCAGGGATTTGATGGGCCAAAGGGCCTTTTTCTGTGCTGTCGAACTCTAATTCTATAACACCGCATACAGTAGATGGACTGCACTGGATCAAATCAGCTATCATGTTTTCAATGACAATATTGGTTGGGCAACAAATGCTGTCTATTGCAATGATCCTTACATCCCATCAAAGAATAACATTTAAAACAAAACTGAACAACATGAGCCATTGATAATATCAACAAGCATTTATACTAAATTAGGTCCTAAGGAATAGTTTTATGGTCCAGAGCATCTTCTGGATGGGTCAAAACATCAATATGACAGATGAGAAAACAACCCCAGATTAGAAGGGCACAGGGGAATACAGATATGTAAGAAATGTTCTGGGATAAGAAAAAGAAAAGGATGGAGACAAAGTCTGAAGAGGTCAATCGAAACTGTGAAGATGACAATCTTACTTTTGGCTGGGAAGATTTTCATGAGCTGCATGTACATTAGAACGGAGGGCAAAGAGAGCAAAAATTGCAGTTGGTCACTGATCAGAGGAATTTGGGATTATCACTCCTTTCAAAGCAATTTTGATTATGGGAACAAAGACAGAAATTGCTGGAAAAGCTCAGCAGGTTTAGCAGCACCTGTGAAGAGAAATCTAGAGTTAATG